CATTGAAAAAACGGAACAATTTCAAAGTGTTGTGCATCAGTATTGCAGTCCACGCGCTTCATGCGCGACTCGGAACGCACCCTAGATTACAAATTCTGATTGGATGAGTTTCCGAAACTCTCGAATATATCCGATAGTAAAAATTATCGATTATTCGATAGCACAATCGAGATTCAGTCAATGCTAGTTAGCATGGTGGAAATATATAAGGTGAAGCAATCTGATGGATGCGCAGTAGCATAAAAGTAGTGGGGAACGGTGAACCAATCAAATATGCCCGGTGATACAAAATTCAGGGTTGGCACATGATATGTTGCATGGGAAGATTCAGAGTAGCAGAAGTAATGAATGTCGAATTCATTGCATTTCATGGCAGTATTTCAGTGTCGAAGTAAAATTTTTGATAAGTTAACCGAAATAGTGTGTAAAAAGATAAAGTATACATTTCTCTCTCCGAGAGAGGTTGTTGCAAGTTTAGTACTAACAAGAACGTACATCAGATTAAAACAAAAAAATAAGATGATAACAATGACTAATAGTTAAAAAAATAAGAAAAAAAATTCAAACATATTTGTAACATTATTCTTTGATACCTGTTACTTGTTTACTTTAGATTTGTATTTTATTCATTTATGTCAGTTACATTTGTTTATTTTCTTTATATTATATTATTTCTTAATTGCTATTTACTATTTTAAAATTGCAATTTTTAACGTTATATTAATAAATACGAATAATTTTTAATATAAATACGGTGTTTTTATTTCCAAGTAACTTATAACATTTTAAATTAACACGTTACCTCATCGGGCAAATTTGATTGGTTAAAATTTTAAGCAGCCGCCATTATGCGCATTGTTTCACCTTATATATTTCCACCATGGCTAGTTAATGGCGTGTATTGTTTCTGTGCGCGTGTTACGTGCATTGTTTATAAGTGTCCTTTTGTAATTTAATTAACAACCTGTTCTTTGCTGGATTGGCTTAAAATCAGCGATTTTAATAATTTTCAGTGCGGCAAGAGCACCGCTGCTTTTATCAGGTAAGATTACACGACTAAATTACGATATAATAATGGTGTTAAGGTTATATTTTGATTAATTATTCTTATATATATATATATATTTATATTTACATATATATTATGTATATATTTGTGTATGTATATAATATACTGTCTCAGAAGAGAGGCACAGTTTTTTCTTTAGTCGATACAGCCTTTTTTTTTGTCGGATTTTTGTTTTCATTATAAGAATTTTAACTTCATTATTAATATTTTACTAGATAATGATTATCCCCTAAATTTCATTTTTGATACTATTAATCAACGGTTAAAATATTTGGTAAAAAATAAATTTATTGTCAATGACCAACCTACCAATACTCAAAGCAATTCAAGGTCTGTCTCTTGGCTTACTGTGCCTTTTGTTCCGTGTCATACAGAAAAATTTAAAAGATTTCATAATAATGATATCAGAGTTTCGTTTCGTAGCCCGAATAAAATGAGTAAATATGTTAAAGTTCAAAAAGATGCCCTTTCAAAGGATTCTAGAAGCAACGTGGTTTATAAAATTTCATGTAACGATTGCGATGCATCATACGTCGGCCAAACAAGTAGACAATTGAAAACGAGAATTTCCGAACATCGTAATCATATTAAACGGAACACGACAACGCGTTCAGTGATTACTGAGCATAGGTTATAGCACGGTCATGACTTTCGATGGAATGAAGTAGAGATTTTTGATGAAGAATCTAATTACAGGAAGCGCATTGTGTCTGAAATGATTAACATTAAAAAACAGAAGAACAGTTTGAATTTGCAAACAGACACTGAAAACCTTCATGAGACATACATTCCGTTGATAAACAAAATTTGACTTTGCTGTGCTGTTTCCTTTTTAGATCATAGCTAATTTTTGTATCGTGCAGACGTGTTAATTTCTGTCTTCGTGTCGTTGAAAAAGACTAACGGATTTATTATGGATTTCGACAATCTTGACAGCCTTTTTTTTGATAATTGTGTGCTGATGTATCCATTTATCAAGGTTTGGAAACTTATATATTGTAGTTCTTGTCAATCATTTATATATAATTAATTCTATTGTTCATATAAAATTAATGTCTTAATTCTTTTATAGATTTATTATCGATCTACCAATCGCTTATAATAAATTCCTTACCTTGATGTCGGATGCATCATTATTTCACCAATGATTTATCTATACGATGTTTTTTCGTTTTGTTACTTCTGAAGAAGACTCAATCCATGAGTCGAAACATGTAAAGTTTGATTAAGCCTTTTTTTATTTTTGTATTAAGTTCGTTCTTGTTTTTTCATATTTATGTATATATTTTTATATCTTCGTATTTAGTCTTGTTTTTCATGTTAATTTATATTAATTTATTTTATCTTTTTACTATGTGATTAAAGAAATTTTTAATGTTTGACTCTTAATTTGTCTTTTTAATTTCTATTTATGTTTGAGAATAAGAGTCCTTTACTTACTTATTTATTATAATATATACTTTTTAATTGTATTAAATGTTAATTGTAATGGATAACCGTTTAGTAATAATTATGATCTTGTCAAAATTTTTTTTATGAAAAAGTGGATGAGACAAATGTTTAGAGGGAATTAATAACAAATGATGTGATATACAAAAGATTACAGAATTATCTAAGACAGAATTTATGAATGGGACGATTAGTTCTAGATTCTACATACTTTGCATTTAAGTTTTACAGATGTTCTTTATCATCCATCATAGCAGACATAGTTTTACAAGACTTAGAATGTTTGAATAAATTGACAATACAATCAACGTTTTATACAAGATATGTAGATGACATTGCATTGGCAATTAATAATGACAACATAGGTGAACTTTTTCATGTTTTTAATAATTATCATACTAGGCTTCATTTTACATTAGAGAAGGGCAAAGATAGGCTGAATTTTTTTAGATGTGATTCTAATAAAACATAAAAATTCTATCATTTATGATTGGTACCAGAAACCAACTTCATTGGGACGGTATCTGAATTACTTTTTGCAACAGCCATTAACACACAAAATAGGAGTCATTATTAGTCTAATAGATAGAGTTGTACATTTGTCTCATCCATTTAAAAAAATTTTGATAAGATCATAATATTAATTTTGTAATAGATAGATTTAATTATTTTGTAATAGATAGATTTGCTAGATATATATCGGCGTTGCGTGAAGTTATCTATGCTTAAACTCTTATAGTGCCCTTTTCTTTCTAAGTTAATTTTTGATTTATACAGGAGTTTGTTATTCATGAATTAATATATCATAATTACTACTAAACGGTTATCCATTACAATTAATATTTAATATAATTAAAAAGAGATTATATAAAAAAATTGATCTACATAATAAAGTTAATTTGAACAATAATGATAATAATACTAATAACAAACAAAGCTATTTCACAATACCGTATGTAGCTATCAAAGTACATGATTTGTAAGTAAGTAATGTATCAATAAAACAATATTTTTGTGTTATATGGATGCATCACATTATTAAAGTCAAACAAACATTCCATAAATACATTTTAGGGTTAATTCTTGCTAGTATTTATAATTAGTATGCATGTATTGTTATTTAAATGTTTGCAGGATATTACTTCTACAAAAGATGGTGGCTTGTACGTAGACGGGCTTCATCTCTGCGTATTTGGTTCCAATCAGGTATTTTTTGT